GAAGCAAGACTACCGGACATGTGTGTCTTCGGATCCTGATTTACGTCATGTCTACTTAAGCACATTGGTATAGGTATAGGATCGTGGCTTGCCTTGTCACGAGTTCGAGACCAGTACCACTAAGGACCCGTCGTGTAGGGCAGCGATGCACGTTAAATCTGTCGAGAGCTGAAACGTCCTGTCGTTGGTGTGATGTGGTAGTTAGGAGAGGGGGGTTCCAGCTCAGGCGTCGTCCACGTCACTTGACCATGGTTCAAAATAACGTGGTCTGTCGCCAAAGGCCCTCGTGCAGCTGAACAGTGCGACGTTAACATTCAATCAATCAATCAATCCGTTAAGGGGATGGTGGACCTTCACAATGTCAAATTTAGGTCAAAATTGCGATTGTGATTTTGTATACTAATAATATTCCTCATATTTCATAGAATGATTCTAATAAAGAATTTTGTCATTTTGATTAATTATTACTGAATTATTTTTTTATTTTACTCAAATAAACATTTAAAATGCACTTTTCTTAGTTCGTAAATTTTCCCTTTTCATTGTTACGTAAAATGCTCCTTGCGTTTAAAATTGCGTCATATTTCTTTTAAATTTTCACAACGTATGAAAGATGATATAATTCACAAATTTGTTCATTTATTTTTATCAAATATTTAACGGATTTTATTTCGTGTTGTTTTGAATACTTTGAATGGGTGATAATTGGTGAAATATTTCATATAGTATAGTAAATTTATCTTTTTTCATCAAATTTTATTCTGAATTTAAAATTTATCCACAAATATATTTTGTTGTCGTTCATCTACACATAAAACAAAAATCATATACGTATCTTAAAAACTAATGCGGAAGAAGCATTTTTAAAAATAGTTTAAAAAATTAAATTTTTTTAAAAAAATCAGTTAATAATAGTTTTTTTAAAAAAATATATTTAAATTCTGAAATGTAATAATCATTTACTATGCTGATTTCATTTTCATCTAATTAAGTCAACAATTTAAGAAATTAGTTTTAATGATCCACCGTCCCCCTGTTTGGCGTATCTTTAATTAATAAACATTACAGTTTTGATCCCCTGTATTTTATTTCCCTAAAAACAAATAATGTTGTTGTTGTTACTAAATCTCCTGTCTGGTTAGACGAAGTCAGACCAGAGCAGTTAAACCATTTATTGAAATCCGATTGTAGAAGTGGTCTGTCATGGATATCTTTACAGTCCAAGATGTGCTGAGGTGAAGCCTGTTCTAGCTGGCATTTAGGGCAAATAGGAAACCTTTTATTGCCTCCAGAAAAAGTGAGATTTTTTAAGTGCCCACTGGCAATTCGGGACAGACAAGTGTTGGACTGTTTGTCACAAGGAAGAGATAAAGAAAATCCTGGTCTTTTGCCTTTATACCATTTATGAAACGGAGGTTTTAACCATTTTTCTTTATTTGGGGCCTTTTGCCTTGAGAATAATTCTAAATATATGAGCTCTGAGGCTGAAGTCTAGCTCCTCCTTTGCAAGAGTGTCAGCCAATTCATTTCCGTAGATATTGACATGGGACAGTATGGTTAATCGAGGATTTCATATAAAACAATTGATACCTCTTTCTAAATATTTAATATTCCTTCTGGAAGTATTCATTTTTGGATCATTCTGAGAACTTTTACGAAATTCTAGCGATGCGAGTACATTCTAATATATCATTTCAGGACCACGACATTCAATATTCCACATACCGAAGTTCATCTGGCTTCCACAGTGGACGTAAATTCTCAGCTGAACGAGCAAGAACTGCTGCAATGGAATCCAAACAGTTATTCTAGCAGCATTAAAAGGCGTCTTGCAACTCCGAGATATCCGATCGCAAATACCTCATCGCTTAAAAATGTTCCTAAAATCTCGTCCAAAACTGGTATACCTTACTGCCGGCATCATTCCTCTCAGATGAAACACCCTGCGACTACCCTCACAGATAAGAGGATTGATTCTTCAAGGACGGAGTCTAATGTAAGCAAATGAGCTGAATAATTTTGGCTTAATCATAGGTAAGATCTCTAAGAGGCAAAACTTCCTGCAAAAATGAACTCTCCTTTGAACATTTTAAAAAGGGTATGCAGGGGTCGGCAATCTTTTAGCTGTGGCATGCTAAACCAATCTACCACTAGGATTCAGCGTGTCCCACAGTCGGACATTTTTTTAAACAGTTCGATTCCCGTGATAATACATGCAGAATTAGAGAATAGATGTCAATAATTCGGTATTTGCAGTTCTATTATATATTAAATTTGCATCATTTAAGGATATTTTTAACATAAAAATAACAGCATAAAATATAACTATTTCTTCTACAAAAATAAAATTAAAATTGTACATATATTATGTATTTTTAAACATACTTATTATATATATATAAAACAAGTAATATAAAAAAAATTTTTTAAGTCAATTCCTACTTAGATCAACAAAGTAAAATTTTATTTTAGCTACTTTTTATTAAATAGTTAAAATTAATATAAATATGTATAAACATATTTATATTAATCACAACATTAAGTGGTAATTAATTTTTATTAATTATCATTAAAGTATCGTATTGTCTTCCAAAACAATCGTGAATATAAAATTTCAGTTCAACTGAATGCTTTAAAACGTGAGAAAAAAAAAACATTTTCAAGTTTTGACACAAGTCGCCAAAAATGATGCCAACGTGGCTGCGCATTTGTAATTCTTAAATAATTAGTTTGGATCAATTAATTTTATTAATTATAATTAAATTATTGTATTGTCATCCAAAATAATCATGTATATAAAATTTCAGCTCAATTCAGCTTTTTAAAATGTATTTTATTAACGATTAAAAATTCCACCACGATAAATAAATAAATATATAGAGAGAGTGCGAGCTAATAGTGTGTGTAGGGATTGAATAAGAAATAGAAAACATAAAATATAAGTATTTCCGTTCATTACAGTTAGATAAAAAGATAAATAAAAATGTTAATAGGAACCTAGTACTTGTATGGCAGTAATTTCATATCACAAAATCAGGGGTATAATGTGTTACTTTCAATTTGACACGATTCTGAGCATTCAGTTGTTAAACAATTTCTTCGCGAGCTCGAAATATTTTTCATGTGAAGAAATATCTTTCATTTTGATAAGTAGAACCAAAAACGGAAAGCAGAGTGTGTACAATTTTCTCTCTTCAAACAATTCAATCTCTCCAGTGATGACATTCAATAATTTATAAAATAGCTGTAAATTTGTCTAAAGAGTTATCTTTCAGGGTTTTTTTTGGTAATTCCGTAAATACCCATAATTCTGAAGATGTTTGACAATTAAGGTAAATTGCAAATTTATCAACTTCTATCCACTCAAATATTGACAAATTTGTTGAGTAGTGCGCAGTGTCACTGAAAATTGTACCGCGTGCCATAGGTTGCCGACCCCTGGGGTAGAGGGTTTTTTTATGGAGAGATGCAGGAAATAGTCAGTGATATGGATCCAAACGAGAGAAAAATTATTTTATAGTAACTGATAATTATAATATCGGAGGATTCCTAAAGAAGTACACAGTTTCATTGCGCTTATAAATCAAGAACATTGTAAGATATTAACTGTCACCTGTAACAGAGTTGTTTGGGAGCATTTTAAGTTTTGTTAAAGACAGTCACGAAAGCTCTATGTATGAATCCTTAGACACACGATACGCATCGAGCCTGTAATGGGAAACAGACTTTGGAAAACGGTTCAAAAGTAATGGAGTAAAATTGCCATGACAATATTCAGAAAAAATTTTTCTTTCATGAAAAATTCGAACTGGAGCTATTGTCAAGAATCATGGCTATCAGACAGAAGCAAATCGCCACATAAAAAATTTGTCATTTATAGTTAAAATGAACTATTAAGGTATCCGACTATTTTTGGAACCATGATTTTGCAAAAGTGTATAAATGGATAATATTTATGATATTTAGTGTCACTTAGATTAGAAAATGTATATAAAATTGTTTTAAGAATAGTCTTACAATAAAAAATGATTTAAGTACAATATTTTGACAAAAAATGAACATAGAATGACCCATTTTCAAAATATTCTTCTTTTGTGAAAAATGCTTCTATTATAATAATCTTTTGCATGTATATAGCTCAGAACTCTGTACAGAGGCTCAACTAGAATTTTTGAAATATGTAACTTAGAAGTGGGTTTATCCATGTTTTAAGACAGCAGAGGGGAGAAATTTTAAGGAAAAAACTTTTGAATGGTTTCTCGGAATAATATCCATTTTTGAACAAGTAAAAGTAACATGTCTTACACTGAACGCAAAATTGAAATTACTAGCTAGCCCACTGAATGTGGCTCATAACATTAAACTCTCTAATTAACAACTCTTGATACATTAAAATGAATAAATTATACTCAAAGTCGATTTGTCACACTACCTGAAGGCAGATATAACGGATTTGAGGTGGTTCCGGACATCATTAGTAATCACATACTAACTCAAACAAGAAAAACATGTTTTTCCAAATTAAATCAAACAGTATACTACTATGTTAATATTTTTATTACTTCGATTTCTCAAAATACTTTACAATTACGAAATTTAAATAAAGATTAGATATTTTTAAAGGGATAGGGGAATTATATTTTTGATTCCTCCAAATTATAAGAGCGATATTTATATTCAAAGAATTTAAATTGAAATATATTTCAAACGAGTAATATAAAAAAAATTAGTTAATTCCTACTTAGGTCAACAAAAAGAATTTCATTTTAGCTACTTTTTATTAAATAATTACAATTAATAAAATTATGTATATACGTATGACAGAATCATAAAATTCAATGGCAAAATAGAGAAAGTGATTTCCCTTGCAATTTTATATTTTCCTTCCTGTACAGAATGTCGGACTATTTTTTTTATTTGTTTGTGTTACTATTTATTCATTAATTTTAATTATTCTAATAAATAGAAAAGAGAAAAAATCTCATTCACAAAAACTAAGCCATCCCAGGTGAGATTCGAACTCACGACCTTTGGAATAAAAGTCCAATCCGCTATGCATTGTGCTACAGGGACACAACCAATGATTTTCCTTTCTATATATGTTGTTGGACTATTGTTTTTGTTTACTATTTATTCATTGTATTTGAACTTGAATGGATGAATAAAAAGTATTTTATTAATGATTGAATAATTGAACAAGATATATATATATATATATATATATATATATATATATATATATATATATATATATATATATATATATATATATATATATATATATATATATATATATATAGGGATAGAGCGGACTAATAGTAGGAATTGAAAAAATGAAAATGTTAAATTATCGCTAGTGAAAACATTGGTTGCTGACCTATGGACGAGAAGGCATTCAATACATTTGTCCCCGGGTCAATATTTATACAAACTCTGTCAAAAGGGGTTACGTAACTACCATATTAATAAAGTTCAAATAATATTAATTGATATGTAACTTGTAATGTGAATACTATACAGACAAATTTTTCTTTTTAAAGATCTTACGCAAAATTTCTTCCTCCATCCGTTCCGAACGATCTCTTCTGATGAAATCCTTAAAAAAAGGTCGCCAACCAGAGTGGGAAATAGTAGAAAGCAAAACAAGAAATGGAACAGTGTACAGCAAAGTGAAATGGAGTAAAAGTTTTGGAGTCGTTTCGAAAGCATAAAAGAAAAAAATACCTAAAACTGAAAAACTGAAGACTTAAAACTACAAATAAAATATTCCTTGCCAAGTGTCAATTGTCTATTCTGTATCAATGTCAAATAAAACTTATAAATATTTGTTACCTTTTACTAATTTCGCACTTTGATTCCATATTTGATTTTTTTTTCATTTAAATTTGAGAATTAAGTTAAAGTAATGCGTAAAATTTTGATTTTACGCCTGATTTTGCATGATTCGATTTAGGTTTACTTGGTTCTGCAAAATGCAAATACTTAATGAACTGTGAAACTGAACTCAAAATAAGTAAGTATTGTTCGAAGAGTTTTTTCCTCTAGAATTTGGAAGCATTAAGGATGAATTGATTAATGTATTGTATTAAATTATAGTGTTATTTGAATTCTGAAGTGAATAGAAGATTAATTCACCTGAGTTTCTGCTTGATATATCATCGAATTAGTTTTAAATGTTTTATAAAGTAGTTGACGCTAATATTTATTTATCTTATCATGTGGTTTTTGAAACATTTAATGCCTTTTCTTAACTAGATATATTCCTGGCATATTTCTGAGAAAATATCCAGAAACTTCTACTTGGTATAAAATTTGAGAAAATGCTGATCATGCCGCGTTTTTTAATTTTCTTTCTTTTTCTAAATATTTTTCCCAATGAATTTAAAAAAAGAGTAAAGCCTTTAAAACAATGTTTTCTTTGTATCCATAATGCATTTGAATTGTTCTTCTATTTTTTCGTAAAAATGTGTCGAAAATGTTTATATAAAGTACAGTGAAATGTGTTTAACTCGAAAACGCGGACGAAATATCGGCTAACACGAAATAATGCAATGGTCCCAATAAGCTACTACGTATTTTTACACATTTTTTTTCTTAACACGAAACGAAAATCGCTTAACACGAAAAGATTTTTTTTCTGGGAATTAACAAAATATAAAAAATACCGGCTGCTCAGGCGAGATTTAAGAAAGGTGTAAAATGAAAGAGAGGTGGTTTCAAGTGTTTCGTGGAAAGAAGACAATAACTTAACTTTGAAATACAATTGGAATAGTCTGTGACACGAGCCAATTTTGTTTATCGAAGCTACTATCTCTTCAACTCTACAATCACCACACAAAAACAACTCATCAGTTGGCTTTGTAATTCGGTGACGAACGAGTACATCGCAGTGGGAGTAAAAATCAGTGAGTTTAGTCTTCGTTTATTTATTTATTTTTTCATATTTTAGAAGAATTTATTTTTAGAGCACAATTGTAAAGGGTTAGGGGGAAAGCAAACTTCTATTTCTTTTAAAATGAAGATGGAGCTTGTTAAAGCTGTTAGTTAAAAACAGAAGATGGAAATTTGTAAAGATTTCAACATTTTGCTGAATTGTGAGTGTTAAATTTCATAAAGTTCTTTAGAATGTTTTTGTTTCATTGATTTTTATTAAATATATGCATATATACATATCAATGCAAATAAAATGTAGTTTAATTGACCTAATTTTCTTTAATTTTTTTCATTATTCTTTAACTCGAAGAAATATTTCAGTCCCTCCAGTTTCATGTTAAGCGATTTTCCCTGTATATATAAATTATTTAATCTTATCTTTTGTTTTTTGCATTTCTAATAGCTCAATATTTGAAGCTACTTTAGCATGTAATATTTTTTTTTCATTTGTATAATTTAAACTCTGAACTAAAATGATATAAGAAACGTAATTGCTAAGGAAAATAATGTTTTCAAGCTGTTATTAAAATGTTTAATTGCAATTTTTATTGCAAAACTGAAATTATTTAATAATAAATTCCCAGGAAACCGTTTAAATTAAATTTTCCTTTTTTTTTCATGTGAGAAGTTTATTCTTAAATGTATAACTAAAGAGGTGATAGATGTATTCCCCGTTGATTCCCCTCGGGATTATAATGTTTTTCCGAAGTGGAGGTCATTTTAGTTGGCCTCACCTGGCCCAGAAATATTCCCCAATACATTGTGCCCATGCCTTTTTTTTTTTTCCTTTTCACAGAACTACGCGAAGGTTTAGTTTCTGGTGCATGGATAGGCCTAGCGATTATTTTATGCGACTGGCAACAAATGTTTTTTTCTTTTCTTTTTATGATTTTTTGACATTTTTGCATAAATTCTGCATGATTATATAAATAAATATACAGCCAAATTTGGTGACTTAATATATGCGGATGTCTTGAAATGGACTCATTTTCGATTAACAGCTCTTTTTGACTTTTCTGTCTACACTCCAGTATTATTCCAGTGGTGCCATATTTTTCAACATTAATGGTCGGTATTTCTTGCACAATAAGGTATCGTAAAAATGACGTTCCTCAATAAAATTTATAGAAAGCGACTCCGGAATTTCTATTGGTGAAGACTTATTCTAAAAATAACATTTTATCACATGAATAGATGCAGGTAGAAAAATTTAACAGAAATTAACTCGTTTCTGTTATTTTCTGAAAAAGACCTAATGGGACTAATTTAATAGCTTAAGAATGAAAGTAGAACAATAAGAAGTGTCCCGAAGACTAAAATTACATTTCAAAATCGATCGATTTCGGGTCGGAACGTCTTTTATCCATTGGTTCTGTTGAATTTCAATAAGCCATTCTTGCAAAGTGAAATTTTTCTTTGGTTCCAAGGTTTAAAATCTCTTTTCCGATACAAGAGTGCTATTTCCCTGCCACAGCAATTTTTCCGAGCCATTACGTGTTCGGTAACTTGCACCTCCGCGCACTTACCTGAAACTTTTTATTCGACGAGTAAAGGTTAAGCTAACAGGCAAAAGGGAGTAAAATCATCGATTATGGCAAGTATGATATCATTTTCATCGTTAAAGAGGAAAGGCAATTCTCCCTTTCCCTCCCTCTGTGGTAATTGAGGTAATTTGGGGGCATGGGACCATTAAGAAAAATAACCTGGGCTCCGGGAACTCGCACAATGGAAGAACGCCGCTCATTCACAATGATTTTTCAATCCGCTGTATTTTTAATTGTCGGTTTGGCAATGGTAGCCATCAGTCATTAGCCAGCGCCGCCTCTTGTCAAAAAGCTGCGGTAGCTGATAAGACCGGAAGTGACGCGACGGAAACTGTTCAATCAAACTCCCCGCTCGAAATAGCTGTTTGGTTTTTACAGAGCAAATAACAGGGAGGCTTTATCGTCGACAGATAGTGGAGAAAACGATCCAGTCCGTCATTGCTATCTTAATGTGCTCCGCGGCGCTGCCACACAAAAAAACCTTAACTTCAGACTTTTAACAGACGATGAATTACTCTTGGCTATCTTCCGAACGACGCTAACTGCCTGCTATTCGAAGGCCCGGGCTACCTGAAAGAACATTAAATGCGCACCTGTGAAAGCTTGATAATAACCTGTCACAGGTTTCGAACACAGACCGATGTCGAAATTGAAGCGATTTAGATAAAAACCGCATTAAAACGATTACAAGCATTTCGTTTTCCAAAATCAAAACCAACGCCATCTAAGAGCGATAAAAGTTAACAACTCGCCGACAGGACCTGTTAAAAATACATTTTTCCTGCATGCCTAATTTTTCGAGCGTCTTTTTCTTATTTTGTTCGAATGTGGTTTGTGTACAAATTACTGGGGCGACGAACACTTTCGATAAATATTATACATAATCTAAAAACGAAATGGAGCAGTCTGGTTTCCGTGGCAGGTAGGGTAAAAGTTTGTACATTGGTGCTTTATTTGCGTCAACTGATATTCAGAAAGTTTAGTATGTATTTACAAGCGAATTAATTCTAAATGTAAAATAGACATTTTTTTTTAACAATGCAAAATATGAACCAATTTTTCGTAACATAAAATTCTATTACTTAAATAATGGCAGTCAGTTGAGCATCTCATTTCAAAACAATTTCCGAATTTTGAGGAAATATTTCAAATAACCGACATTTCGCGTCATAATTATAACCTCGAGGGGAATGATGCTTACAAAATATTTTTTCAATAGAAATTTTATTTGAAATTTAAAGGATTTTATGAATTAATGTATTTCACTTTTACTTATCCAAACTCTATCCAAGTATCTTCTTTGCCGCATTAAACATCACAATTGTTCACAAAAGAATGAAAAAAAGATCTCGTAAGTTATTGTAGCTATTGTGCGTTTAAAAGTTTAGTACCTTGTAATCCTGCCTGGGGGCGTTCTTCTCTTTTAGGAATGAGTCGGAGTTTTGTTAGAACTATTGTGAGTTTTGTGCTTGTTAGGTAATGAATGTAGCTAACGCATATAGAAGCTCCAATGATTCTTGTTCGAATATAGTTTTGGTGGTCGCGGTAGCTTGTAGGTCATAGTCCAGGGTCGTTTTTGACCTCCCCGGCTCCCAA